GTTATACTACTTATCACTTAGGTATGAGCCCAACTGATTAGAGGGTCATTTCCAAAGAACTATCATTCATAAATTAGTTTTGTGAAGTGATACTTCTTTATTACTAAAAGCACTAATTACTCATCTGAAAGTAATAATTCTTGGCATTTGTGAAGTACCTTAAGCTCTTCGAAGTGATTTTGCATGCATTATCTCATTTGGTCCTGAAGGAGTGAGTCTGTTCATTAAACTGTCCAGCTGGAGGGGGGAAATCAGAGTACTCAGCCATGACTAACGTCCCCTCAATCCAAGGTGAATATATAAGTGATGAGGTTCTATCTATAATAAGGGAATAAAAAATCGACATCCTCTGTTTTATTAGAATAAAAGTTATGGGAATGGGCCCACTGCCCTCTCAAGGGCCTTTTCATGATCATTTCTTCCCATGTTAGTTACTGTCAGAACAAAACTCACATAGTTAATTACAATAGATCAGATCCATTATTCTTCATTTTATTCTTATTTAAGTATTGACAGGCAAACACACAACATAGTGAAATTGATTATTTAAATCTAAAGCCTTTTATTGAAACCTAGTTCCCAACCTAGTAGAAAAAAAGGACTATAATTATTGGACATTTTCATAGACCATAAGCTAATTCTTGAAATATTTTCTGTAATGCTAAGTAGTAATTTGAGTTTTTTTATGTTGCTAAGAAAAACTCTTCTACCCAAAAAAATGAATTTCATTTTAAATATGCATCAAATTTACTTCCTTATGTAAAGATTTGGTACATGGTTAATCATGCTGACCACTATTTCAATCTCTGGTTTATTGTCACAAATAGTGTGGCAAAATCTCAACAACATGTAAGGGCTCTGTACTTGACTGAAGGATAATGTGTCTCTGGGGTCCTTTTGAATAAAATGAAGTTAAATCTCAGTCAAAAAACTTATGCAATTAAAGGTCTTAATGTAAGTTATTGATTGAACTTCCTCAGGCTCAATTTATTCAAACAAATATGCAAATCTTCTATTTTTGTATCTTTGACAGCTTCATATTAAATAACATTGTGAAACATTGTAGTTAGATTTTGTTTCCATTTTCTTTATTGGCCTTGCAATAAAGCAATGCGAAGACCTGGTTTCTCCAGCAACACCCTTTTGATTGTTTGTAACAATTTAACTGTTATTTCTCATTAGCCATTATTTCTTATTTTCTAAATTGTGATTTAGAGCAATACCATAAGTATTGATCTTCAGATACAGTTCAGTTCCTTTCCACTGCAAGCTGCCATCTGTAAGTACTCCTTTTACAAGCCTCCAGGGATGTCAGAGGTCTTGGAGGTCACTGATTCCATTATATATATTTGTTGAATAAGTCCTTCACTCTTCCCTCACCTCCATCCCGCTACCAAAGCATTAATTTGCTATAATCTGGAAAATTATAGCAGAAATATTATTAGGCATTGGTCATTCTTTACAAAGTCTAGATTAAAATTAGAATTTGGGAGATGGTGCAAAATAATGAAGAGTTTGATTTTTTTTTTCTCCACAAAGAAAAGGTATTGGCTAAATCCCTATTATTTTATCTATTTTACAAAGACAAAAATGATACCTGGAATGCAATATCACTCTCAAGTCATAATAGCTGTTTCTGCACGATTGTTTCCAATCAAGAATTATGCCAGCAAAACCAGAAAATCCTCTACACAACTAGGGAAATCCAGCAACAAAAATGAAGTTGCCGTGTGAACCATCAAAAGAGAAAAGATCCCAGTGTGTTTTTCATCAGTCTGGATCAGTGCTTTATGGATTTAGAAACATGCAATAAAACTAAAATAGTTGGAGAGAATAGTGGCCCCGCTAAACAGGAATGAAGTCAGCCTGATGCTTTCCTCTCCTTCCTCTGCCCTCACGTATGCCTGTGTCTCCATAAGTACTCTTCCCTGGAATTGACCAGATGATTGACACTCAAAGATATGACTCTTTGCTATCTCAGTCAGTTTTTACACTTCTACATTCTTTTCTCAAATTTGATGGCATATACATAATTTGCATTAAAAGACAACTATTTATAAATATATTAGCAGTACAATTACTACCATGTGCCAAGCAGTGTGGTATCACTTTGACTGCATTATAGTCAATCCAAAGAGTCACACAATAGAGATATTAATAATTTATCTTGAATAATAATTGGTCACAGTAATTAATGAAAAGGAAGAAGTTAGCTAGCTAGGAAATAGTGATAATAGAACTAAAATCCAGGTTTGTTTCATTCCATTGTGTGTGCTGTTTGATACATTTGCACTATATAACCTAG